CTAGGCATAACTAAACTGTACTGCATCTGTACAGTTAACATGCAACCCCAAACAAGAACAAATATGTTCATGTTCTAAATGTAAATGTTACACATATAAGAGGCATTTCTAGCTTTTAATAAGTTCTGTCAGGACCACTACCGTCAAAGATGACTGACAATTAGCATACAGTTTGGATTGGCGGTATGGTTCTGTTCTGGGAAAGAACTCCCTGCGCATCCATGCAGCCTAGCATGGATATGAGCAGGGAGAGCAGCGATAACCTCCCAGGGTAAACAGAACCAACATGAATGTATTGCAGATATCGTTAAAGTTCAGTAATTTAATGTACACATTTAGAATTAGTCTGATTCAAAGGAGAATCAGAAGGCTGAATCCTGACTGACAGAGGAGACGGCACCCATTCACTGCAGAGGATCCATTGGTGAGTGATGTAATCAAACAAAACAGAAACAAACTCTTAAACATCTTGGATGGCCTGAGCGTGTACATTTTCAGCAAATTTTCATGTTTGGGTAAACTATTCCTTTAAATGTGAATGGTTAATGTACAGTCGCAATGGGGCAGATGAAGGCCGGTGGCCCTGAGCTCGGCCATCCAGATGCATTGTGGAAAAAGACAGCACTCAAGCATAAAGCCATTCATCCCGTTTACGTATGGGATGATATTAGACTCTAAATGATTAATAGATGCATGCACAATTATCCATGTACTGCATACATTTTATACATGTATCTTACTAACCACACACAAATGTCTTTCATGCGGTCTCAGAGTGGACGTTGCCATAGTTACAATTGTCAACATCACCTTTGTATTTACTAAAAACTAAATAAAACATAACGGAAATTTGTGTTTGTGTCATTCTGCCATTAATTGTCGTCATTATTTACCTTTTTTTTTTCCGTTTGGCACAAGTGAAGTTGTTTTTGATGATTTGCCTAAAGAGCATAGGCCTACCTGTGAGGTCACGATTGAAGTAAAAATTTGAATGAAATATAATTCTGTCAGGACCACTAGCGTCAAATATGATTGACAATTAGCATACAGTTTGGATTGGCGGTATGGGTCTGTTCTGGGAAAGAACTCCCTGCGCATCCATGCAGCCTAGCATGGATATGAGCAGGGAGAGCAGCGATAACCTCCCAGGGTAAACAGAACCAACATGAATGTATTGCAGATATCGTTAAAGTTCAGTAATTTAATGTACACATTTAGAATTAGTCTGATTCAAAGGAGAATCAGAAGGCTGAATCCTGACTGACAGAGGAGGAGTTGGGGATGGAGGAGGGTAATTAGCTATTGAGCAATGCGAAAACTGCTGATAATACTGAGGGGCCTTATATATGAATGCTTAGATAGGTGTCGTATTCCTATAGGTAGATGGGGATCAGCTGAGAGTCAGCTGATGCGAGCTTGACTAACATGACCTGCCAGAACTAACGCTTACTCTTGATTTTTAATGTAAAGTAAAATTAATTTTAAAAGGGTGTATTTTCAATCTAGGATGTGGAAGGAAAACTTTTTTTTTTCAACATGAGAGCACCAAAGAGTTCAATCTGTTCAATTTTTAGTGACTTCAGGGGCAGCATTTTCTTCAGTACTATTGTGTAGCATGAATGTAACTATGGGCTACAAAGACTTCACATGACAAAGCACTAGCTGAACTTTCTCAAAATTACTTTTCAAAAAGTTGCTTACTGTGACAGTGCCATATACACTATAGTGCTAGAGATGGTATCAGATGGTAATACTACTACTGCATACTCTGATATATATATATACACACACACAATGGAAACTGAATGACTACACTAGCCTTATCAGGACTCAAAAATAAGGATGTTTTCCTTCCAACCTTTATTTGCCTCACCACAAAAAAGTAATCTTTTGCTGGGAGAGAGTGGCACAGGAGACAAAACATTACACTGTAACTGATTTTTGTAATTTGAACAGTATTATACTGTAATATGTACAGTAAGATACTGTAAAAATGTGTATACAGTATTTTACTGTAAACCGCAAAGGATTATGGGAAAATATATGGTCACTACTGTATTTCCTCACTACTGTAAATCAATTTACAGTAGTGAACTTGCCCGC